TCCTTTTTCTCGGACAACATTGGGGGGTCTCACGAGGCCGTCCTCTTTCCCCCTTTCACAGGTACGGGCGCATTCGCTATCTCGAGCATGGCCGTCATCAAGCGATTTGCGCAGTCACAGACGACATCATTTGGCAATCTGACAGCTCCATCAAGATGGGTCACCTCGCCTCGAGAGGGCGCATCCGCCGGGTTGGCGCAAGTTGGAACTCTTGCGAACCATGCCATCAGGCTCATGCTTTCTTCCAATCGAAGAATCGCCTCAAGGACGATCTGACCCTGTTCACTCTTGGTGCGAGCGCTCAACAATGAATCCCGGACACCATTGTTGTCCACAAAGAAAACAACCGGTCTCTCGCACAAATGGTTGCGCCCGCATTCAATCGCCAGCAGGACTGCAAGAAACTCGAGTTCAAAGATCAGGGTCTTCGCGCCGACATCGATGAAGTCGACCAGCGTCGACGAAGGCAACTGCTAGGCAAACCATGGCACCAGCTCCGCATTCTCATTGAACAAGATTCCTCCGACGCCAGCCTTCGGGGTCTTGGCACCTCAGGTGGCTCATAGAAGGCATCGGTGAAGGCATACAGAATGTCGTGCGATCAATCGGCCTCTTGGTTCCTGCAGCTTCTCCTGGTAACGTCGGAGGGCAAGGGACACAGAAAACGACAGCTCTGACACGAACTTGGGAGCACGTATGCGCTGCGTCAATGCCTTTAGGGCCAACACGCCAGTGCGTCCAAAGACATGGTTCTTAGCGAACCCGAGCCGGCCGCGCAGCTTCTCTGCCGTCCCTCTGTCCAATCTCGAGGCTTCGAGGCATTGGCCGATGCTGTTCATTAACTCTGAAATCTGCGATTCAGTGTTCTTGATCTCGACAATGCCCCGGGGAACACTTTCCAAGCAAATCAAAGCCCCAAGGGCCTGAATGGCGCAAGACATGTCTGTGGCTTTGTCGCCATCGCGCGCGAACGTCCAACCGGTGGCCAAAAGGATGAACTCTAGCAAGTTCCCCGAGGACGTCTTGAGTTCCTCTGGAGAGGCCAACAGAAAGTCAGCAAAATAACTCGTCGCTAAGAGGCTCCCCCCGACACAGGCGATGTACCACAATGCCGCTGAACACCTAGAGAAGTGGTACACAGAGGCGGTGGCTCCGAAAGGCAAGCACTTCAAGCGAAAGGTTTCAGCGCAACCAGATTCAGGGCACCAAGCAGCAATGTGGCTGAAGCGCTCAGTCTCAGGACTCAGCGGCAACTAGCGATGGCCGATTTGAGATCATAAGTCTCCCCACCAAGCGGCAACAACCGCCCTGTGTCTGTGATGAGAGCTTCATCCATGTTGACAAAGCAGCAGACATCACATCCAATGTGTGTACCTGAGCCTTCTCATGGTGGTCACGGCTTTGTTCACCAGCGAGGCCGTGAAGTCATCGATCGGCCTGACCTTGGGGTCGCCGCAATTGTCAGTTCCTTGAACGACACCGAACCCCCGGGTCAATGTGCAGTCCCGCAGTGAACCGACTGCTCGAGGTGACAACGGTCCGACAAGCCAACCCTTCTTGGTCTCCTCAACTGTTTTGGCCCAGACCCCTGCATCAATCACCGGGTCGCCCGAAGACTTGATGTTCTGCAGGGTGGATCTCAACTGGGAGCCAGCAATGGCCCTGAGACCGTCCGCCGACAACAGGGCAGGAACAATGGCTTGGGGGAAAGCGCCGCATGCCGGCACCTCGCCTACAATGTCAAAGCCTCTGAGCAACTGTAGTGGGATGTCCGCATCCGCATATCCAACATCCAGAGCACGCGCTGCCACAGCAGCAGACGTTTCCCTCGGATTATATCCTTGACATCGGGGTGGCAAGCCGTGTGAAGCTCACATTCATTCTTTTGAAGATCCAGAAGATCTTTGGTCCACATGCGACACCACTCGATCCTGCCACCAATGATGTCCTGCCAATTCTTGTAATTCTTGTTGAAGTGGTCGTCAATCACATTGCGAATTTCGCTGGGCAGCAAGGCTTTCGATCCAAAGGGGTGTCCCAGCTTGCAAGCTTCTTTCACAAACTCATCGGGTTGCCACTTCACCGCCAATTTCCACCTCTTGATTGTGGGTGGATGTGAGTTGATTCTGTCGATTTCATCTGCATTTTCGTCTTCACCTGCATTGTCTTTGATGCTCGTGCCACTCTTGCTTCCCAGTTTTCGTCTTCACCTGCATTGTCTTTGATGCTCGTGCCACCCTTGCTTCCCAGTTCCCCAGTAACAAGCGGAGTGGCCGCCAGGAAAATGGTGTGGGCCGGGATGCTTTCACCAGAAGATGTAGTGAGAATAGCAGCCGGTCGCATCAACGAGGTGTCGAGATGGGGGTTCCTGCATGCTTGCTGGCACATCGATGGTGAACATGGACTTGTACTCCGGACCCACAATGGAAGTTTGCAGTCCGTCGAAGTTGTGGGCCACAGGGACAACTCCCCCCACACCGAACAGGCGATCAGCAACGATGTGGGCGACGGCGTCACACAAGCCACGAGGGTAGGCACCTCCAAGGGCACACAAGCTTTTGGGCCGCACTTCATGATGACATCGGTTGCCCATCCATTACGTCGGCCCAAGTGGACTCGATTTGCAGCCAATTTTCCTGAGATTGCAGTGCTATGCCAGCAATGTGATGGGCAACATGATCATTTGCCTTGGCGTTTGGTCTACACAGCTTCTGGCACCGTGCCAAAACAAGGAAGGTGTGGGATCTTCCACAGTGACCATGACGCCACGCTCATGACACAGGGGCCAAACCAAGGCCACCCAGGCATAATGGCGATTGGCTTGATCAACGCGAGTCTTGTTGAGGCCGGTCAAGTGGGGTAGGCCACCAGGATGCTGCATGGAACGCAACGGCGGAGGGCCGTATGAGGTTTTGCTCGCGCAAATCTCCCGAGCGCGGGAGGCTGTCCCGCATGGCGGGCCCATGTGAACGTACACCAACATGGGGAATCTCAGCCATTCAAACAAAAAATCGACATTCGTCTGGATGGTGAAGTCGAAAGTCAAAACTGGGCCGCGAACGGCCTTGGGAATATGGTGGTCAATTCCAAAACTCTGGCGCAAACCAAGTGCGCGAAGACTGGCAGTAAGCCCTGCACTGCCCGCAAAAGGCTCAATTGCGAAAAATTCCGAGATGGGTGCCCCTGCAAGGGAGGGTGCAGGTAGTCATTCGGAGCTAGGATGATCCTGGGAGGAGTGCTTCTGCCCACACGTGGGTCGGTTGCACACATGGATCCCCTTTGGGCACTTTCCACCTGCTGGCGCTTTGGTGCATCCGTGGCTGAGATTGTAATCAAAGCAAATTGGTTGACCAGTCGATATGGTGCTCCATTGACCTTGCAAGGCACTTGGCATGGGTGTGCGGCGGGTCTTTCCCTTGCCTTTGGACTTACCCTTGGACGTGCCCTTGCCTTTGTGAGCGGCAGGAGGAGGTGAGTCTTTCTCCTTCTCTTTGGTGTCAACACTCGCACCGTTGGCAGTGCGCTTGGTGTTGGGCCGAGGCAGCAAGTTGAAGGCGACATCCGGGTGAGTCTTCAGCGAGCCGAGCAGCTGATCCAATGGCAGGCTTCCGTCCGCCTGGAGGCCAAAGTCGTGACACTGTTCGGCCATGACGATCCAAGCCTGACGATCGGCGCGAAGGATGGCAGTGAGATCGGGCTTGATGTGGCCTGGGGCGCTGTCACGGTGGAGGTGTTCGAATAGATAGGGGATCTTACAGAGTCCAACCCTGAACACACAGAAAAGAACCTCGCACGAACCCTGCAGTCAACTTCTCCCCCTTTTTTCTTTTAAGAGGTGGTGGAAAGGTCGGCCAGCCTGTAAATACTTTACACTGACCACCTGGCTACAACCTGCATAGCCAACATCAGCCGCACGCGCTGACAAACCCCATCAGCCAAGCGCTGACAAAAGGACCCCCATGCCCAAAGTTTCGATCGGGCAAGGGCGGGCGGGAGATCGAAAAATTTTGGGCGGGCCCCGCAGTTGCACACCGAACTACCCCGGTTTCTGACCACTGTGCTCAGGCCACACAGCTGCAACATCAAACGTTCTGTGTCCTGACATGTTTAAGTCCTACTTGCAAGCAAACAGAACAACCCAACAAGGACTCCACAGATCCCTCTTTTCGCCCCTCCGGTTCCCTACGGTTCGACCCGCGGGATCTTACAGAGTCCAACCCTGAACACACAGAAAAGAACCTCGCGCAAACCCTGCGCTCAACTTCTCCCCCTTTTTTCTTTTAAGAGGTGGTGGAAAGGTCGGCCAGCCTGTAAATACTTTACACTGACCACCTGGCTACAACCTGCGTAGCCAACATCAGCCGCACGCGCTGACAAACCCCATCAGCCAAGCGCTGACAAAAGGACCCCCACTCGCAGAGCAAGCGCACGGCAAACCCATGGATACCCCGCACCTTTTTCACTGCCAAGGGTCAGTGGTCCGCAAAGAGGAATGCTTGGGACGCTTTGAAATGCCCTCGGCCTTCTTATGGGCTCGAGAATCACGCACTTCCTCATAAAGGTCCATTCCTGCGCGCATGAGATCTTGCAAACCAAACCCTGGAACGACCGCAAATCAAATCTTAGTCGCAGTCTCTTATCGAAGCGACTGTAGTCGCCATTTGTGAGGGAGTCCGCGTCCTCGTTCTGCAGCCGTGGCAGCCAATGTAGTCTAAGCTCCGCTCCCCTGTCTTGAAGCTGCGCGGCAAGTTCCATCAGCAAGATGCACAGAGGGAATTTTGTGGCCAGAAGCCGCGACACGAGGTTGCTGTTTCCTCTGTTGTCGGTAGCGGCTGAGCAGTGGAATCCGCATGCCTCTCCGGGTGGTACACCAAACAACGTCACCGCCGCTAGCGTTGCTAGAAGCTCCAGCGATGCGATTTGGCGATAAGCTTCGCCAGCCATGTACACCCAAGGCGCAGTAACATGGTCCAGCCGCTCGGAGAACCACCTGCACTGCTTGGTGTTCTCAGAATCTAGAGCCCAACCTGCGATCCAGACTTCGTTGCCCTCGGCTTTTGCATCAGTTCTGAAGAGCTCCTTTTCGACGGCGTGCGCCTTCCCAGCAGAAGTTAGCCTGCCGCCTCCACCTAACGCCTTCGCCAGGAACTTGAAGATCAAGGAGATCGCTCGGGGCACTTTGTAGGCACGACGATGGTCCAAGGAGGCTACCCACGCGTAAACTGGCCCCAAGAAAGGTCTGAGATGCCCAAGAGCAGTTAGCGCGAAAGACAACCGCCCCAGCACCGCACTGACATCCGCAATCTTGACGCAGTCTGCAGCCGTTGTTTTTGTGAGCCATTGTATAAGCCACTGGGCACGCTGAACAGACAGTCCGAGCTTGCTTTCTCTCAGGTTTAATTCAAGCCCTACCCAACAGAACTCACCCCCTCCCTTCAACTTACGCCAAGAGAAGGGCAATCCTAGTAACACAACGAAAAAGATTACCAGGCACACCATCTGCACACTATCTTTGTCGTTGTGCGCCAGCCACAAGAGGTCATCTACATAGACAAGCATGAAGATCTCCCTTTTCCCAAGCAAGTAAAAAGCTGCACGGCCGAGTCCCGACATTAATCGTGACCAGTGGTATGCTGCACTCGAAATTCCAAATGTACCCACTTTATTCAACCAGAGCTTGTCACGTCCACCAACACCAGTTTTGCGCGCTTGCAATCCCCAGTCGGCCGCTGCGATCTTCACGAGCCCATGCGCACGCTCCACATCTCCAGTCAATCCAAAGCATTGCCCAGGTAGCTCTTGGAGCGCAGCGCGAAGCTCGCCAGCACCCGGTGAACGTATTTGGTCACGCACCCGAATAGCAGAATTCACTGTGATCCCATTGGCGCCGTCGTGCACGACTCGATACGCGCCATCCTTCTTTTCGAGCGTGCCCAAGGAAGCAACAGCTAGCTGCTTTCCAAATTGCGCTCGGGCCTCTGCCGTGGTCACCCCGACCATGGCACCCAGCGCTGCCTCCGCCTGGAACTGCTGTTGGACTTCGCCCGCGTACTCCCTTGCAGACAAATAGTTTTCCCGCTCAGCTCCAGGCTCGCAGAACCCACTATCATATTTCCGCCACTTCTCCTTTTTCTCAAAGACTGAAGGCACCCGCGGTAGGCACACCCCAGGCACCAGACGCACACCCTTTGCGAAAGACACACTGGAAGAAAAGAAAACTCTACTGTCAGGATCGCCGGAAAGGCGGAGCAGCTCCTCCATCGCCGCCATGTAAAAGGGCTGCCCCTCTGTTCGCTCCCTCACCGGGAGCTTGGCCCCGGCATATTCCAACGCAGTAAAAAGAAGCTCACGTCCTTCAACCAACACTTCCGAACTGAACGGGTTGTCTGAGACCTTGCCCCGCGACAGCTTTGCAGCTAAGCTTACTAGGTCCACGCGCCGCACTAGGATCTTCAGGAGCTCCTTGCCAAGACTTTCGGCGAATCCCAGCGACGGCATGTCCCCGGCGCATCTCCGCCTGCTCGGACACCACCTTCCCGGTGAGCACAAGCCGAAACCATCGCAAAATGGCACCCTTTTCCCAAACATTCTAGCGGTCAGTGGGGGCCCCCTGCCCCAGACTCCATCTCCCAGCTGTGGCTTGACGTGGCCATCTTCGTCCTCATCAGAACTGTCTTCAGCCACTTCAAAGCTACGCGGTTCCCACACGCCTTCACCAGTACGCTCCCAGCGCCAATCTTCAGCCTGAACTGTGTTCTGCCCGTCTGTAGAACTGTAGACTTCACGCAAACCAGCAGCTTCTTCACAGTCTTGTCTGCGACGCTTGGCAGTATCTTCCGAGATGGCCAGGCGCAGTGGGGGAACGTCCCCCACCGCAGGCGACGCCTGGCCGGGCTTGCCATCAGCAGATAGTCACTCATCGCGGAAGTCTCCCACACTTTTGCCCAGCTGCTTTGCATCGCGCTTGTAGCGGCACTCAAAGAAGGGGTGGCGGTGAAAGCACCGCTGGCAGACATGTTCAAATCGGCAAGTCTTGCCTGCAGCGCAGCCACTTTGCTTGTTGTACTTGAAGCAGATCAATTTGCCTTCTGGCGCGCGGGCCGCTTTTCCCCATTGGCGCTCCCACGAAGACATCTGCTTGCTTTTGCCACTGCCTTTGGCGCCCCTGCCTGCCGGATGGGGAGCAGGCGGCGGCGGGGCAGCAACCTCCTCTTCTCCTGGACAGCTTTGTTTCTTGCCGAGCGTCATAGGGATAATGAAATGCAAGTTCAACAGGTCGGTGGAGTCGATGGCTTTCTCAATGGCAGAATTCAAACAGGAACTCTTTCCATCGCGCACAAAACGGTAGGCAGCTTTACGCAGCTCAAGTTCATAGCCATCCGCCGTCAACTTCACACCTGCCACATGGGAGCCAAGCACATGGTCCGAGAGCAGTCGAAAGGTGTCCACGCATGACTGTGGTAGCCAAGTTCTGGTCGAATGACGGGTTCGCGCAAAATCCCAGGCTAGCCCCATCCGGTGACGCAGCCGAAGCTCTTCAGGCGTCGCGGGAGGCGTGGTTGTGGCCTTTCCGGGGCGGATCCGCAGCGTCTGCGAGGCAGGGTCGATCACGGCCCCATATGCTTCTACACGCGCATCCGCAAGTCCTCTGCCACAGGTGCGCCATCTTCCACTTGTTCCAGTTTGAGAGCTATCAGCGATTTGCTGGGCACTTCGCGATCTTTCAATGATCGCCCCTGTGCACACTCAACTGCCGCCCTCATTGCTGAATATTCTGTTCTGAACCAGGCGCTGTTGTACGCCCAGTTTGGCGTCCTGCCGGTTCTGCTCTTGGCATTTTGGCTGCATACGCGAGCTCTCCCGCACGCATAGCAACTTAGAGATCTCCTTGCGCATCTCAATGTCGCCCACTGGGTCAAAGCCAAAATCGGCCTTGAACACTGCCCGCATTTCCTCCCGCGACTCTTCCAAGCCCCCGAAGATACGCAGGGAGGTAACCGCAGATCGAAAAATTTTGGGCGGCCCCCGCAGTTGCACACCGGACTACCCCGGTTTCTGACCACTGTGCTCAGGCCACACAGCTGCAACATCAAACGTTCTGTGTCCTGACATGTTTAAGTCCTACTTGAAAGCAAACAGAACAACCCAACAAGGACTCCACAGATCCCTCTTTTCGCCCCTCCGGTTCCCTACGGTTCGACCCGCTGGATCCACTCCATGGACACATCATATGTCCGCATGTCGCAAGCATCGTAGGCCAGGGCGCGCCTCTGAAGGGCGTGGAAAGCCTGAAGCTCGGTGCCTGCATCACAGGCGAGGTGCAGCTCCTGGTCCTTGATCGCCAATGAACCATTGTCCAAGAAGATCCGTTGCTGAGGTTTCGATCCAGTCAGCTCGGTCTCCCGCTTGATGCGTTTGTGAGGAGCGAGATACTTGAGCTGGCGCTGCTCGAGCTGATGATTGACAGCGTCGATCACGCAGTGTGCCACCTCCAATTCTCCCTTCATTCGAGCGCCAGCCAGACGCGCCGCTTGCTTGGAAATGCGATCGTCACGCGCAGCAGCATTGAGCTTTCGCACTGGTGCCTGGTCAGTAGCCTCAACCTTGTCCTTCAAGCTGTGGATGATCAATGCGTGGGCCTCAAAGATGAGCCGCTTCAAAATAGCGAGCTGCGCCAGGGGCACTCGGGTCCAACCAAGGTTGTTAAGGAAATCCTGCAGTTGGTCATCGGTGATATTCTGGCCAGGCGTGCTGAATCCATTGCCTTCCAAACCCTGCATCACATCTGCCTGCATGTTGAGCTCCTTTGCTCGCGCTTTGAATGCTGCTTGAGAATCGATCACCGATGTCATGGCGCCTCCAGGTATGCCCTGCAAAGTCAGCCCGATGCTAGTGAGCCACTGAACACGACGTGCGAAACTAGTAGGTCAAGGTTGGGTCCACCAATTGATTAACCGGCTTGCTAGCAAATTGCGCACTGTCAAGTACAAGTGGGCAACTGCTTTCTCAAATTTCTAGTTTTGCACACACATGCATGCGTTTGAGAAATCAGGAGGAAACTCAAATAGTGCTGGGGCAAATGACTGCAGGAAGCAAACTCTTCGAGACATGAGGCGATGGCTGTATGCTTGCTGCGGACAAGAGATTCTACTCATAATCGAACCACTAAACATGCAGAGTTTCGAATCATGCTGCGAACGCTGGCATATGAGCTTGCGGTTCCTGAGCTGGCTGTGATCCCAACAGTACGGCGTTCTTCCAATTCTATCGACCAACGTTGCAGAGGTTGGTCCAGATCATAGAGTAGGGCCCCAGGAGAGGGCGCAGGCAGCCACTCTGAACCTCAAGTTTCTATAATCGCGTCGAACTGGCAAATAATTTTCAAAACAACGGGCCAGTGGCCTAATGGTTAAGGCGTTGGACCCATGAGGCTGGGACAAGGAACCTCTTTCCATCCTTATCGGTCCAAACATTGGGTGGTTCGATTCCCCCCTGGTCCATGCAGTTTTGACTTGCACTTCAGTATTGTCAAAACACTGGCCAAGAAAGTTGCGCTTCGTATGAATGCTGACAGGCGCACACTTTTGTCTGCTTGAATATTCTCATGGATCAATGCCTTCAAACGATGTCTTGCAGATCGATTAGGATGAACGCTGCTGGCCGCATTCAAGCAATTTCAACATAGGCGCTTTTAAAGGACATTCGCCACTTAGGGTCTGTGTTCGGACACTTCACAATGCTCACGCACCCACCTCCCCTGTGGCCCTTGTCAGGCAAGCGACCGTGAGGGGATGTGACCATTCTCCTGCCCTTCAACGAGCTTCAGTAATGGCCAAAGTTGTGTGACTTCATGACTGCTCTTGGTTGCGGCAACTGCTCGAAGATCAGGCTGAGCAGATGTTGGGAAGCAACCTGTAACGTGTGCTCATGACGCCGGCTGTCTTGTGAATGTTCGCTCCAGATTCAATAAGACAGGCGTGGTTGGTTCGCACGTTACACCCATGTGATTGGTCCATAGTACCTGCTTGGTGGTCTCAAGATTAAACACCCGTGGCGAGACGATCATAGTCGTTGGGTTTTCGCAAACAGGCGCAGAGCAATCCTGGTCACCGGTTGAATCTCACATGAGACCCTCTAGCATCTTCATTCGATGAACTATCAAGGTGAGGCTACGCAATAAGATTACTTCACGTATGGGCTGGTTGCTTCGGGCAGGACGCATTCGATTAGGGGCGGGGGCATCTATCTCGAAGCCCGCAACGCGAGGGCAAATTCACTGGCCTCTCTGAGAGAAACGGCTCGCAATGCACGAGCCCACGCGTCAAAGATTTTTGACATTTTCAACTTCGTGGGCGCAATCATCGAGGGGGTTGCTGGCAAGCTTTTCCTGCGCCCAGCTGCTGACTTCATCCAATCGCTTGGAGATTCCTAAACCAATCAGTATTGTTCACCCAATGCTGTTACCCTCTGTTCCAATGTGGTTGGAGCGTGAAAGCGATTGACGCGGTGCGTCAGGCGGTTGCGTGTTGCGGTGCCCCATCATCAAGCTCACTTAGTGTCGGGTCTCGGTCCAAAGACGAAGACGATGCGACCGGCAGCCCAAATGTCGGTAACACGCACATGCGGCTGGCCTGTTGGGACGAACAGCTGAGATGGATTGGACCTCTCCAAGCAAACGAAGGCGGAAAACCTTGCTCCAATGAGGCTTCAGTGTGTCATGCTTGCTCCTTTGCAATGCGGCACTGATGGTTTGCTCGTCTTTATGACCTAATTCGGGAACTCGTGCAAATGGCTGGGGCCCTCGATGGACCCACGAATTTATGGGCAAATGCACCGCATCCTACCACTCGCTTTCTGAGCCCGGCGCTCTCTGAAACCTCCAGGGCTGTCTGGCACGATCGATCAACGGGGAACGAGCAGACCAACAAAGAGGTTCACAAGACGATAACACAGTGGGACATGTGAACTGCATTCAAGCTCAATCCCGCAATCAGGGATGGCCTCCATCAACACCAACGTGCCCATGGGGCGAAACTCCCACCTACTACGAAAGACTGGGTAGCATCATCAATCAAAATTGACGGCATCCACCCAAAAAACGGTCACAAACAGTTGCGAGACAAACCAGCCTCAGGCACGTCGTCCAGACGTCCTCCACACCAAGCTGCCTTGCGAGCCTGACACCTGCCCCTCGCAGCTGTGAGCCAAGCGTTCACAATCCAGGAACGTGTGATCTGCCAAGGGATCACCGCTGTGACTCATCTCACCATTGTGAGGAACGAGCACGACAAACACAGCGCATGGATTTTCACACCCAATTGGGACCATTGTTCCAAACTGATTTTTTTTTTGCACGGGTAAGGGCGCTATGTGTGCCGAGAGGCACAAGTCGCCGTGTCGAATTCACTTGAGGGGTGAGAGGAAATGAGCCTGACCTAAGAGAGCAACAAAACCACACCCAAAACACACCAAAACCACAACCAAAAAAACCCAACCCACAAAGCAACAGAAACCAAGCAAATCAGGCTCATGTCCGCTCTAGTCTGAAAAGCCAAAAGGTGCAGATCCGAAGATCAACACAGAAGTGAAACGGGGCGATGAATTCCTTTCAAGCCGCTCTCAGTACAGGATGTCCAGGACGAAAATGCATTCTGCTTGTTGGTAGGAAGATGTCCCACCCGAGGTGCACTGCGTATACTTGTGCGTGAGCAAGACTGAAGGAGAGAGTGAGGTTCAAGCCAGGTGCTTTGTAAGGTCCAAGGCACGACACAACTTGTTCCCCAAACAGTTTACTGTTAGGGGTTCTCAATGCTTTAAAAAATGGTCGCCTTGGTGCTGGATGGTCTGGTCGGGTTCCCAGCTGGCTTGTCTCCCACTTCCTTTGTCTCCCAGTTCTTTTCAGTCGGGGTTCCCGGCTGGCTTGTCTCCCACTTCCTTTCATTTGCCTCCCAATTCTTTTCATTTGTCTCCGCCACTACTTCCTTTCATTTGTCTCCCACTTCTTTTCATTGTCTCCCAGGCTGGGTGCTTGTGGTCGGGTTGTCTCCCACTTCCTTTCATTTGTCTCCCACTTCTTTTCATTTGTCTCCCAGGCTGGGTGCTTGTGGTCGGGT